CATTAAAATTCACAACTAAATTGGGTTTGGACAACTGTGCACAAATTGCAAGATGAAGCAGCCCACATGCAGAATACAAATTGGCATTTCAGGATGTAAGCCTTGCAATGCCTGTTGCTGGTCTTATTGTGCCAATACTTCACATGTGTGTAGCCGATTATTTTCTCTTAAAATTTTAACAGAGTCATTTACCAATCTAAAACATTAAGTGGGTGAAGAAGTGCTAATAGATCATTGGGTCATTTCTAACCTTTTAACCCTATGTAGTACTTCCCTCATATCTTAGATAAGTTATTGAGGTGAGTCCCAACTTCCACATCATTGCAAATATCAATATTTGCTTGAGAGTTTAGGAATGTGTAGGTAAAGCCCACTCTGTCTGGTAATTGATTTTAATTAATTGCTGACAGAAGACAAAAGGTTTTTGTCTTGCACTTGTCAGAACCATTCCTAAGAGGCATCAAATTAAAGGATAAACCACTTTTACGATACATGAGAGAAGAGTTCACTCACATAACCTAAACGTTGTTGGCCCTTCAGATCAATATTCCTGTGAATATTCCTGATAAGTGCACTATGACAAGCTTCTACAAAATCTGTCGCTTTTCAGCAACAATCAAGGCCTGTACTACCAAACAACTAATTTATTTATCTTAGACTTCCATAATTTACCATTTCAGCCGTCAAAAATATTTATCCATAATTTAAAGTTAAAATTGCAAAATGAATAATTTTACTGAAGAAAAAGCAAACTCTTCCATATAAGTGATCATATGGAATACAGGGAGAACTAGCTATTTGAATATAGAACTGGCTCAACAGTAGAAGAGGGTGGTGGTGGAGGGTTGCTTTTCAGACTGGAGGCCTGTGACCAGCAATGTGCCATAAGGATCGGTGCTGGGTCCACTGTTTTTCATCATTTATATAAATGATTTGGATGTGAACATAGGAGGTATGGTTACTAACTTTGCAGATGACATCAAAATTGGAAGTGTAGTGGACAGCAAAGAAAGTATCCTCAAGGTACAACAGGATTTTGATCAGATGGGCCAATGGGCCAAGGAGTGGCAGATGGAGTTTAATTTAGATAAATGTGAGGTGCTGCATTTTGGAAAAACAAATCAGGGCAGGACTTATACACTTAATGGTAAGATCCTGATGAGTGTTGCTGATCAAAGTGACTTTGGGGTGCAGACTCATTGTTTCTTGAAAGTGGAGTCGAAGACAGACAGGATAGTGAAGAAGGCATTTGGCTTTATTGGTCAGTGCGTTGAGTATAGGAGTTGGGAGGTCATGTTGCGGCATGAAATTCTGGTCTCCTTGCTATAGGAAAGATGTTGTGAAACTTGAAAGGGTTCAGAAAAGATTTACAAGGATGTTGCCAGGGTTGGAGGGTTTGAGCCAAAGGGAGAGGCTGAACAGGTTGGATCTATTTTCCCTGGAACATCAGAGGTTGAGGGGTGACCTTGTAGAAGTTCATAAAATCATGAGGGGCATGGATAGCGTAAATAGACAAAGTCTTTTCCCTGGGGTGGGGGAGTCCAAAACTAGAGGGCATAGGTGTAAGGTGAGATGGGAAAGATTTAAAAGGGACCTAACACGACTTTTTCACACAGAGGGTGGTGTGTGTATGGAATGAGCTGCCAGAGGAATTGTGGGCTGATACAATTACTGCATTCAAAAGGCATCTAGATGGGTACGTGAATAGGAAGGGCTTAGAGAGATATGGGCCAAATGCTCGCAAATGGGACGAGATTTATTTAGGATATCTGGTTGACATGGGCAAGTTGGATTAGAGGGTCTGTTTGCGTGCTGTATAACTCTATGTCTCTATGATTCTAAGTGATAACATTCAATTATAATTTTCTGGTTTCCTTCTAACTAATCCACAAAATAGACAAATTACTAACACTATGAGTCAAAACATTAAGCTGCCTTGTTGCAAGTGCATTGTTTGTTAAAATAAATTTCAAACTGGAATTCAATTCCTAAATCTGTGCATCTTGCTAACCTCACCTTCACCTCAGTTCATTGCCCAAGCTATTGGTCATCCCTGTTAACTCTCCTTCATTAGCTTGACATCTTTCTTTTCTCAGATTATGCCTCTGTAAGGTGCCCTAGAATAGTTTTCTACATAAATGATGCTGCATAAATAATGATGCTTCCTTGAGATTACAAATTATCATTTTTCCATTAGATTTCTCAAATGTATCCAAAACAGATTTCCAACTTGCCCATTTCCAAGTCGTGGTAAATCTGTTCATTTTTACATCCATATGACATTACTGGCACTGGCCAAACTTTGAATATCTCCCATATTTCAAAGGAATTGTCAGTCATGTGCCAACTGAACCAGCAACACAGCACTGTTCAAATTTAAGTTGTTTCTCTCCTCAGCCTATAGAAATGTACAGCACTACATTCAGTTAAGCTTGGAAATTGTATTGCAGTTGTTTTGTCTTTAAAGACTGCTTATGTGGCTAAATTACAAATTTAAATGGTAATGACAAAAAGCAGAAGTAGTGTATTTCCATTGCAACCATATTAAACTAGTGCACAAAGCATTGCTATATAATTGTGTGAAGTATTTGTTGTATGATTTTTGTTTTGTTCTTCTTTCGATCTGGTCTACTGTATATGATGATAACTTTGTGTCTCCTCTACATTGGTGAGACCAAATGCTGACTGGGTGACCATTTTACCCAGTCCATAAGAATGACCCGAACCTTTCAGTTGTTTTCCATTTCAGTACACCATCTTGCTAACATTTCTGCCCAAGACCTGCTGCAGGGGTCCAGCAAAGCCCAATAGAAGTGTTAGAACAGCACCTCCTTTTCTGCTTAAGTACTTTACAGCCTTCAGAGCTCAACATTAAGTTCAACAACTTCACAGCATGCACACTATCCTCCGTTTTGATTACGTCTTTCCTCCCAATATCTTTGTATTTGATCTCGGCAGAACTGACCTATTTTCTACTATTCGCATCTATCATCAAAGCCTACTTTTGCATCCCGATTTCTCTTTTATTCCCATTAGCACTCCTCTTGTCTTTTGCTCTGCACACACTCACCGTGTGTTCCACTAGCTCCTCCTACCTCTTCGTCAACGACATATAATTGTGAATTTTCAAAGCCTTTTCAGTTCCGAAGAAAAGTCATTGGACTCAAAATGTTTTTTCTCTATTTCTCTCTCCACAGATCCTCCCAGGCCTATTGAGTTTCTCCAGCATTTTCTGTTTCTCTTTCAGATCTCCAGCATCCGCAGTATTTTGCTTTAATCTGTTGTATTATAGATCCTGATCACTGTTCATCATGTTGTATGAGCTAGCTGCACTCATGGTGTCCAGAAGATACATTTGCTGCCACTATCCTCCTTTTAGGTTGTGATTGACCAGGGTTGCTTTGTCTTATGTGGCAAAGAAAATCCATTAGGTAGTCTAACATGAAGAAGCTCTTGTCTATTACAAGATGGGAATTATTACATGACAGCAACCAAGTACAAATCAAATTTATATAACAGACATTATTACTAAGACTATGAGGGGACCTAGATGGTGGGTCTATATAGAGTTATAGAGTCATACAGCATGGAAACAGACCCTTTAGTCCAACCAGTCCGTGCCAACAATGATCCCAAACTAAACTAGTCCCACTTGCCTGCACTTGGCCCATATACCTTCAAATATTTCTTATTCATGTACTTATCTAAGTGTCTTTTCAACATTGTAACTGTACCCACAACCACCACTTCCTCTGGAAGTTCATTCCACACACAGACCACAGTCTGTGTAAAACAATTGCCCCTCCTGTGTTTTTTAAACCTTTCTCCTCTCACCTTAAAAAGTTTGCCTGCTAGTCTTGAAATCCCCCCACCATAAGGAAAAGACACCTGCCATTCACCTTCTCAGTACCCCTCGTGATTTTATGAATCTCTATAAGGTCCCCTCTCAACCTCATACATTCCAGCGCAAAACGTCCCAGACTATCCAGCCTCTACTTATAACTCGAGCCCTCCATTCCCAGCAACATTCAGGTAAATCTCTTCTGAATCCTCTCCAGCTTAATAATACCCTTCCTATAACAGAGCACCGTGAACTGGACACAGCACTCTTTCAAGATACAGAGATGATTACCTCCTGTAAGGCCTTATGACATTAGCATCGTGAGTGGATCTTATTTCACTCTTCAGCATTAACCTTTTAAGAAACAAACACCTGGTACAACAGTGTTCACAACATTCTCCTCTAGAATGAAAGAAACTAACAAGTCAACTTTGGATCACTAAAGATCGGTGAAACATTGGTGATTTACAAACTTCAAATAGTTGAACTTTCATCCTGTTATTTAACAAGGAAACGAGATGTGCATTTGTTTAGCAAAATTCATGATCTCAGGAATCCCCAAAATGCTTTACAGCTACCAACGTTCTGTGGAAGAATAGTCTCTGCAGGAACATGTAGGAAACATGGTGGCCAATTTGTACATAGCAAAGTGCCATAAGCAGAAGTCAGTCAACTATGCAGATAACCTATTTTCTAGTGATTTTAATAGATGGGAAAATATTGGCAAAAACATAGGGAAAACCACCACCTTCCCCCCAGTCTCCTTCAAAACAAGGAACTGGATTAATGTAGACGATCTGGTCAGCATGGACAGGTTGGACCGAAGGGTCTGGTTCCATGCTGTACGTCTCTATGACTTGATGACCCTATGACTCTTCTGGGTCTGTCTGAGAGGGCAAACAGGACCTTAGTTTAACACCTCATCCTAAAAACAATACCTTTAAAATGCAGCACTCCCTCAGTACGACAAACTTGAATGATGATTTAAATTATGTGTTTAAGACTTTGAAGTGGGGCTTAAGCCCACAATCTCCTGACTCTGAGATAAGAGTGCTGCCACTTAGCTACAGCTGGCACTGTCAAAAATAATGCTATGACCACACCATGCGATCATTCTCCAGATTAACTCATAATCAAAAGTGTCTCATATCTGTTTTAGGAAACTATGGAGAGAGTGGGATGGAGGCTTTCAAGGAGTTAGCTGCTCAGGAAGGACTGTGCATTGCACACTCAGGTAAAATCTACAGCAATGCTGGGGAGAAAGCCTTTGACAGACTCCTGAGAAAATTAAGGGAAAGACTGCCTAAAGCAAGAGTTGTCGTCTGTTTCTGTGAGGGAATGACAGTGAGAGGCCTGCTTATGGCGATGCGAAGACTTGGGGTACTAGGCGAGTTTCTACTGATCGGCAGGTAAGCAGATTTCTGTTCACTTTCTGGTACAACTGTGTCATGCTGTTACATATCCTTTATTGAGTTACTGTGCGGAGGGACGACGGAATATCCCCTAATATCACTGTGTGATAACACGACAGTATATTTGATTTGCATTAGTACGTAATGGTACTTCTGGATATCCCCTTAACGTACATATTAGTGTAGATTTCGGAAGTCAATTCCCTCATCAATATACAATTGAAGATCACAGAATTTAGCTCATTTGACTAGACAGCTGGTATGTGATGCAGAGTGATGCCAACAGCGTGGGTTCAGTTGCAGGTGACCATGAAGGACTCTCCTTCTCATCTTCTCTCCTCACCTGAGTTGTGGTGACCCTCAGGTTAAAACACCCACCAGTTGTCTGTCTCTGATGAGACAGCAGCCCTGGGATCCAGGAGGACAATGGCGGCTTTACCTTTTACATGTCTCAAGATCGCCACTGGCAGAACTTTACCATCCCCCACCATTGGCAGGGCAGCCCTTTAAATCCCCTGGGTGGTATTCCCATCACCTTCCCACCAAACTGTGTCTGGGCAGCAATTTTACAGTGGGCTGTGGGTGAGTCTTAGTTTGGCCCAAACACCCTCATCCTGATTGAGGCCCTCAGACAGCACCTTGATAATTGGCAACATTTCAGCTGGCAGGAGACGTTGATGGACAGGGGCTGAGGGGTAATGCCCAGCAGATCACCCATCATTGATGTTGACTCAGAGAGGCCAGAGGATGCGTCTAAATCATTGATGCCCTCTTTGGGTTCAGCACTCTACTCCCCCTAACCCCACACCCCACAAGTTCTGCATCTCAGCAACACTCCGACCTGCCCTTTGGGTGCGCACTAAGGATATGGCACAGGTCGCTTAGGACTGAGATGAGGAGAAATTTCTTCACCCAGAAAGTGGCGAGCCTGTGGAATTCTCTGCCACAGAAAGTAGTTGACGCCAAAGCATTAAATGTTTTCAATATGTTAGATACAGTTCTTAGGACTAAATGGATCAAAAGAGGGAGAAAGTGGAAACAGGGTACTGAGTTGGATGATCAGCAATGAGTATATTGAATGGCAGAGCAATTTTGAAGGGCCTCCTTCTGCTCCTATTTTCTATATTTCTGTGTTTGTAACCTCCTGACCTCACGTCTCAAGACTGCCAAACCTTTCTCTCCACTGTCCCCTGTCCTCCCCTCTGTTCCAGTGTGTGCTTTAAGTCTGGGGATTGCTTGTAGTTCCAGCAGTGGCCACCGCTCCAGGCAGCACTGCTGAGTCAGATCAACAGGCAGTTCTCTGGGATGGCACTTCCTGCTGAGTGAAGACCCTTTCACTGGCAAGCTGGGAAACACTCCCGTCTGAAAACTCATGTCCCTCATATCAAGTATGTGCCCCGTGGTTAATACATTTAAGGTTAATCTATCCAGACTGAGTCTCTTCACACAACATGCCACTGAGTCAGAAGCTCAGTCCACTGCAAATGACTGAGCACCTCATCCAGACATTTGAGCACGGCATTGAATAAATGCTGTGCTCTCAAGGATGCTATCTTTTGGTTGAGAGCTCAAACTGAGTGCCACACTGTCCTCTCGGGCAGGTGTGAAAGATTGTGTGGAACAGTTACAAAGGATTTTCTATGGGCCATCATTCACTTTGTGAACTAACTATGGAGGGTGGATATTTCCCACCCTTCCCCATTCTATGATAATTATTACAGAGAAAATACCTTTAATAAAATATAAAGACATTGGATTTGAAATGTTTTCGGTTCAACCAAACTTCTTGTCCTTATGAAAATTTACCCTGTAGTCAAGTTGATAATTTACCCCAACACCACCCTCAACCCCATGCCCGCCCCAAACGGGGAACCACAAAATACTCTGTTCTAATGGTATAAGACATGCCTGCCAACATTACAATGAATAACGATAATTAAAATGTAAGCGCTCCTTCAGCCTTATCACTGAATCATAAAAATATGATTATACTGAGGAGCCAGCTAAACAGCCCATAGGCTATGGCTTATGAACAAAAGGTAGCTTTAGGATGGCCACCGAGAAACTCGACAAAACTCTGTTCACTACAGAGTTAAATGGCTCCAATGTAGAGGGTAAATTAGCTGAGCTGGAAGTGCACATCTGACATAATTGGATAGGCAACAAAAGAGAGACCCAGGGACAGTCTCTGAAAAGGGCACGAGGCCCCTGGTATCTGTAAGTAAAAGATCTAGCAGCTCTTTGCCCACTTTGCCAAAACGATTTGCCCTGAACAAGTGCCAACTGAGTTAAATATATCCAAAAGTGGTTAATGTAAATATGATGGTTAACAGAAGCATCACCAAGAAGGTATGATTTGAAAAGATACTTCAGATCTTCCCAAGCCCATTGCAGTTCCATAGATTATTCCAGCTCCCAGATAGACAGCAGTTTTCTGTCTGCTCCCTCACCTGATTGTTGCGAGTGATCCTACTCTCTCCTGATCATTTTCCTACGCTCTCTTTCATTGGTATATAGCTGAAGGCCAAAGTTAGTGATGCAGAGCTCTGGAATTGTAATGACCTTCATCACAACTTGCTTCCCACTAACCAGTGAGTGTCCAAATACAAATTCTAGTGATCTTGGTAGTGTAGTGATTGTGTTACTGGACTAATAAAAGAGCCTGTATTACTGAACTAGAAATATGAGCTCCACAAATGTTTTTAAATCAATCTGTTCACATATGAAACACTTCCATGGCAGGTGGACCAGAGTTTCCTCCAGGTACTCCGGTTTCCTCCCACGGTCCAAAGATGAGCAGATTAGGTGGATTGGATAAGCTAAATTGCCCGTAGTGTTCAGGGGTCTGTAGATTAGGTGGATTATAGGGGGATGGGTCTGGGTGGGATGCTGCAAGGGTCCGTGTGGACTTGTTGGACACACTGTTTCCACACTGTAGGGATTCTATGATTCTATGATACCACTGTGCAAATATAAGGCGGCAATTGAGGAATGTAAACTAAGGTAAAAAATAAAGTGCAGTGAAGTGGTTGTAAGAATATTGGGTTGTTGTTGAAAGCCACCTGGATTCACTCTCATCCACAACAATATGGCTAACCTTTAACTTGTAACTTTCCTAAATGAGCCACTCAGTTGTACCAAATTTCTGTGACAAAGTACAATGGGAATATAAGTAGAGGGGACCACAGAGTTTGGTTTCCATCAAGACCACTTTAGTCCTGACCTAAGAGAAAGTCTTCTCCAAACAGTTACCAAAAAACTAAATTCCAAGGTGGGATGACAGTGACTGTCCTTAACAGAAAAAAGCATTAGACTGAGTGTCACATTAAGGAGCCCTGGTGAATGGAAATAAGGGACAAAGCTCCTCATTGCCTGCAGTCTTACCGTAATACAAAGCAGCATGGCATTGTTTGAGGTTGATCATCTCAGTCCTAGCAAAATGAAACCAAGTTTAATCAAATAAACATACAGCATGAGTGAAGGATGCCATTGTGTCTTTCTTATTTTCAATCCCTTGCTCTTTCACAATCTCAGGGTCTCCCAAAACATTTTACAATCAAAGCCAGCCATAGCTCAGTTCATAATACTCACACTGCCAAACCTGAAGGTTATGCTTTCAAATCCCAATCCAGAGAAATAAACACAAAATCTCTAGTGTTGTAGATGGTGTCCTTTGGAGGAGATGTCAAACAGAGTCCTGTACCCTCAGGTGGATGCAAAAGATTCCATAGCATTATTTCTTTCAAAGAAAAGCAGGGGGTTTATTCTTGTTGCCCTGATCAATATTTATCCCTCAATCAATGTTACCAAAACAGATGATCACTTCTTTGTGGAAGTTTGTGCAGACATTCACCAAAAATCCTTAGACAGCACCTTCCAAATCCTCAACCACCTCCACCTAGAAGGACAAGGGCAGAAGATACCTGGGAACACTGTCACCTGTAAGTTCCCCTCCAAGCCACTCACCATCCTGACTTTGAAATATATCTCTGCTTCTTCACTATCTCCGAATCAAAATACTGGAATGCCCTCTCTAAGGCAATTGTGGGCCCACCTACAGCACATGGACTGCAAGGGTTCAAGAAGGCAGCTCACCACCACCTTCTCAAGGGCAGCTCCAGACAGACAATAAATTATGGCCAGCCAACAACACCCACGCCCAACAAGCGAATATAAGAAAAGATCTCCCTCCACATTTCCCACTTTCCAACAGTGACAATATTTCAAAACCCACCAGCCTCTCTGCTCCTATGATGCTGCTTGGCCTGCTGTGTTCATCCAGCCCTGCACCTTGTTGTCTCTTCATTGGCTGTAAATTACTTTGGGACACGTTGAGGCTATGAAAGGTTTTATGAAAATGTAAGCTGTTATTTTTCTTTTCCTCACTGTGCTGCATATTGTTCCTTTTCAAATATACACCCGAATCTCTCTTGAAAGTTATTATCAAAACTGCTTCCATTACATTCATGTTGTAACATCTCACTCTGTGAAAAAAAATGCTTTGTGTCTGGGTCTTTAAGTACTTGCGCTGTTTCCAACCTTCTCACTGGTGAAAACAGTTTATCAAAACCCTCATGATTTTGAGCACATCTGTTAAAGTCTCTCGTTAACCTACTTAAACCCAGAATACAATTTAAGCTTCTCTCACCACTCCATGTGACTGAAGACCCTCAATCTCTGTTGCCAATCTAGTGAATCTCCTCAATATCCACAACAAAACCTTCACGTTCTGCTTAAAGTGTGGGCCATGAGTGGACACAGTCCTCCAGCTGAGGCCTAGCTGAGATTTATTAGCACGGAAGCATTGAAGATAGGAGCAGGAGTAGGCCATTCGACTCCTCAAGCCTGCTTTACCATTCAATATGATCAAGCTGATCATCAAGCTCAATGTCTTAATCCTGCCCTCCCCCCATGTCTAACGATCCCTTTAGCCGGAAGAGCTATATCTACCTCCTTCCTGAAAATAAAATGTAGAACTTGTGCTGGCTGGGAGCCAA